AGCATGGTGCGATATATGCATTTACTGCACTATGTTAATTAGTAATCAGACCGATAGTGAACACTCCAAATAAATAACCAGCAAGCGCTCCTAATAACCAGACTGCAAAATCTGCACAACAGATGAACAGCATACCAACAATTAAACCTGCTGCGAGGGAAACTACAAGAATAATTGTCATGTTTGAATTAGAGCCACCATATCCTCCGGGAGGCTCGTTATTAATGAGAGCCATCCACATAGCAATAGCTATTAATAATGAATTTTTAATTAATTGGTGAATTTTTTTTTTGCAAAAAAAAAAAAAAAAAAAAAAAATTTAATAATATACCTCCAACGTAAAATCCAATTAAGAATAATGTAAGATGATAAATTTTTCGTCCAAAGAAACAAAAAATAAATCCAGTAATGATAAGAATGATCCCTACGATGATAGCATGAGGCGTAAGTGGTCCTGTCATTTCGGCAACACCAGCGGTTGGACTAGTATTACTACCAGGAACATTAGGAACGGTATCAGGTAAAGCATTGACGATATCGATAATCGAAGAAAGTGCACCAAATAAGAACACTAAAAATACTATAAGAGGTGAACACTTCCTCGTGGGAAGGTTATAGTATTTGTACATCTTATATTAACTTAATTTTCTTTTTTTTAATTATTTTTTTTTTTATCTTTTTTTTTTTTTTTTAAAAAAAAAAAAAAGAGGAGCTTATGTGAATTATTCGAAGAGTGGAATTTTAATAAATTATTTATACATTTTGTCTTGAGTTGAATCAGGTGATAAATTTTAGTACGTATAAAAAATATTTTAAGCTTTTGAATCAGCCTCACATTAAGTACGTACACACCCAAGACAATTGCCAAGTAGTAACACAATAACATCATTACGTATGGTATTACACATAAAGATATCTGATTAATATTTTTTCAATATATATATATTAAAAAGGTTAGCAAAGAATTTAATTTTCTTCTTTCACAATTTTCCATTCTTTTATAAGTAATCACCAAGTATGAAAAATAAGGAAATTTTGTTTTTAAATAGAAATTTATAAATAGTTCTATGACCTAGTTAATATTTGGACAAAAAAGATAAGAAAAAAACACAAAAATAAATTTTCTTTAGAATGAATCCATATAAGAATTATATTGTATCAAGGGTTAATAAAATTGCTACTACGTATTACGCAATGTTAGCATTTGGCTGAATTCATACTGGTATAAAATTTTTTTTACTCTTTTTGGTTAATCTACCTAAATTTTGGTTTTTCTGAAACTTTAAACTGATTAGCAATTTTTTGATAAGTATCATGTAAAATCATAATAATAAATATTCGATTTCGAAAAACGTAAACAAATAATATTATGATTTTTAAAAAATGAACATAAATAATAATATTTGGCGTTACGTAATGATACTGTACTTTCCGTATTTAAACGATTCTCTTACCTTACGTTTAGTCACACGATTAAGTCAAGACTTTTACATACTCTTGCAAGATTTCAAAATTCATAATATGTAATGTGAATGAAAAATTTATACTGTACATTAATATAATGTATATCAATATACAGGACATTAAAATGTGATTATAAGCAATTACGGGTGCGACTATAACAGGATTATATTATATCGATATAATGTTAGTTTAATAAATTTATTAGGTAATTAGCAAAAGATTTGTTTTTCAATTTTTACAGGCTTTACCTTGTTTAGCGCGTGTAAGGGCGGCGCGTCGATGGTCTTTACTATGCGGGATTCATAGAATTCACAAAAATCAATTATTGTACTACTGAGGTACCCCGTGACAATTGTGATTCTATTGTGATCTCAATAGTTTAAAATAATTAACATGAGATAAAAAATATATATTCCACGGCCCTATATGTTCGCCCGTGAACATTTCTGATGATATTTTTATGATGATGTAATGCCGTGAAAAT